TTTATTACACATTCTATATTCTTATTTAAATGTAGATGCAGTGTTACCCCTGAGGACAAAAAATTCCTCGTTACCAGTATAAAGGGTCTCCAGTTTTCATCACTTTACAGCAGCGTTATGCCTTTATTTTACGCCGAAATTCTGTTCGAGCGTGGTCCTTTTTAGGACAAGCCGACCCACTCGTGCTACAACCATAATTCGCTGCAGCGTGACTCCACTACGTGGAATATAATATAATGATGAAGTTTAGGATGAAATTGATTTCAAGGTTTTTTATTTACAAGGAAGCCTCTGTCTGTAATTATTTGACAGGAAATGTAAACGAGATTATATAGTCCCTATACAATATGTAACGTAATTAACGCACACCCTCAGACACCCCAATTAGTATATTATGTTATAATCATAATACATACACTGAATTTTTAGTCAAACATTTTTATGCACTGATTATTTATCAAATTAGTTATACTAATTCCGGAAGAATGTTGTGGTCACAGTACAAATCCACGAACGCAAAGACTTTAACTTGCTTGAAATAAAGTTCATTTTTCTTCATTTTTATTGAATGACAGAATTAGTGATAATACAAATAAAACTGCACTCTTAAAAGTCTTATTGCCTTAAATTACGGCCCATTTTAGTTTGTTTTGACTGTACAGATTTAGTGTGACTGTAATTTACGTAGTTTTAATTATTTTTGGGATAAAAAATTACCTATATTAAAAATGATAGGAATCGATTCAGTAAACGATTCTGAACAAACTACTTTCTCAAAGTGCGTTAATTATGTTACATGTTGTATATGAGCCTCACAATCATCTTGGTACACAGTGGTGACAATCTCTATTGTTATATAAAGAGTGGAATCTCAAAATTAAGTGTTATTTTTAAATTCACCAGACGTGTACATTTTATTATGTACAATAGCACCCTCATCATGGATGTCTATTTTCTAATTTACTTTGATATTACTTTAGTTCAGAAACCAGACACCGCGCAATTTATAACTAAGTATTTTTAATTTCTATGCTCTCTGTGCAGTATTACAGTTATAGTTTCAAAATTTGCGGTCGGAGTTTCCAGTTATAGCTTTTAATAAAATTGCCATTTAAATACCTATAGAACTAAAGGAATGCAATATGGGTGTCGTGAATAAGAATCAGAATGGCTACTTATTGGGTCCTGGGTTCGAATCGGCGATAGACAACTAATGTTGCACTTTTTATTACTGGCATAGGGTAAAGTGTGCGGCAAGCTCGTGGAACTGTTTAGGTAAGATATTCATTTATCTATGAAATCGCTAATTTTATTTCTAAGTAATATCTGTGGCCGTAGAAGGAAAAGGGGAGATCTCCCGCCGGGCAAGGTGTTATGCCCGGGGAGCGGCCAACGCTCCGTGTGATAGTTCGGAGATGTTCTATATATGCTGTTTATGATTCGGAATGTTGATAGCGTGATTTAGGCTTCGGTGTGTTTTTTCGCTTGCGGCGCGACGTCAGCGCCGCTACATCACCCCCTGCTCAGACCGGAGGTCGATAGTGCAGTCGAGTTGTCGACGAATGTGCAAGTGCCAGGAGATTGCCTTGTAGTCTGCGGTGAGTCGAGAAGAAGGCAAGTAATCTGCGAGAGTGCCGTAAAGCAGAGGCGAGCAGTAAGGCTCAGAGCCGTGCCGAACACTGTATGGCGCAGAGAGTAGCTTGAAGGAACAGGAAGCATTATTATTCCAGTGCTGCGATGAACCTTGTGAAGCTAGATGGCTTGCAGGATATGAAGACTGCAGACGATATCTGCTCGGGAGCGAATGGGTGGGGTATTCCATGACGATGATGAAGCTTGAAATTTCCGAAGGTTGTTTGGTTGCGTGTTCAGATCACGTCGGGGTCACCACTGTGGCCGTAGAAGGAAAAGGGGAGATCTCCCCGCCGGGCAAGGTGTTATGCCCGGGGAGCGGCCAACGCTCCGTGTGATAGTTCGGAGATGTTCTATATATGCTGTTTATGATTCGGAATGTTGATAGCGTGATTTAGGCTTCGGTGTGTTTTTTCGCTTGCGGCGCGACGTCAGCGCCGCTACAATATCCCCCCCATCATCAGTCCATACCAGGACTTTCTTCTGTATCATAGAGTTGTTTCACATACGGTTATCCCCTATACCGCGTACCAATACTTCGATTTTACCGCCTGCAGAGAATTTAAGTTTTCGGAATAATATAAGTAATGGCCAAAATATATCTTTTTATTCTTTATTTGCAAGCGCAGCGTGGATGACCCCCCCACTAAATTGAATGGTGACATGATGAAAGACGCAAGCAATCGATGGATTTGGGTGGTTCAGTACCGTGCTTTGTGGCATTCTATGGGGGAGGCAGATGTCTCGTGATGAGCTGTAGTAGTAGTATATTCTTTATTCAATTTCGATAATTTAATACATAGATCGCATAAAAATATTTTAGGAGTAAAAATGGAAAATCAACTAAAATTCAAAATGAAATTATCGTGTTGGTCGATTTTGAGCAAAACTTCATTATTATACTTTAATCGTGACAAAATACGTATAATTTTTGAGGAACCTATCGTATTACGCTGAATAAGTAATCGGGTTAATGAATAAAATTTCATTACAATAAATAATATTAAATATTAAACGTAGACCATAGTGAACTTTGCGCTGCAAGTTTGCAATATGGCCGTCGCAATATGTTCGCGATCGAGGTTTTTGTCGATAGTACTTTCTCATATCGTCGAGGTCATCTAATAAGCGAAACTTTTCCCTTGCTCATTCGTATGCGACTCCTGTCGGTTGTCCACAGCGTTGGTGCTTTTTTGAACTAGCTTTTTTCTTGTAATATACACATTATATATCAATCTCTACTCTCACATTATATATAAAATTATGAAACCCAGTAAAAGAAATAAATAAGTAATTATACAAATTTCGTCATATTCACAAATTCACGAAAGTTTTGCATGTTTTTTGTCTTCGATTATATTGATATTAATATAATAAAATACTCGAAGAATATTGTAGTGATTATTTAAACTTTTTATTTAACAATTTGTACCCACATACCTATATGTATTTGTTAGTTAAAGTTAAACGTGTAGAATCCATTTCAAATTCTATTGCAGAAAGTGTAGAGCAATTTACTTTTTTGGGGCAGGTAAGATCTACCAAGTATTGGATTAATACTAAAGTGAATTTAGCAAGTCACGTACCTTGTACAAAGTGAATCGTGTACAAAAAGGTCCATGTTGAATAGAAATCAATTGGTGTTGTAGGGTTAGATTATTGGTAAGGTATATTAAATACCAGTTTTGTGTTTTCATATTATTAAACGTAATGTAACAAATTTTTATTTATTTATTCTTCAGTGTATGACATAGAAAGACATTATAATTTAGAAAGATACCAGGAGGTATATATACATAAAGCTAAGGCCGTACTGAAAATTGCTTAAGCAGGCATTCTGTACCCGCCAGATTATTTAAAATTAAAGTTTTAATTTAATAATATAGATTTTGAAGTGATAGTACAAGTTTTAATTTTAGTAGTAATAATTTTTAAGTTTAGTGTAAGTTTTGATATAATAACTTAACTACATATAACGTTATTATTAAACGTGATTGTAAAAAGAAACTACCTAATTTACAGGCTACACAATTATTAATATATAATCCCATTACTGTAAGCAGTTTTATTCTAAAAAGTTAAGTTTTTAAAAGCAATTTTTTTGAATATTTTTATATTATACATTCCTCAATATCCCCTTTGTCATTTTTAGTAACATACAACGATAAAAATGTATTAAACATAATATTAACTTTGATAGTCTGTGGAAGAGACAAATTAATGTCGGACAGATATTGAATAGAGATTGAAAGATATTGAACAGAATGAAATATTATCTCTACTTAAAAATGTTTATCAAATATCTATTTTTTAAGCGGAGAGTATTACACGGCCCTATTGTGATGCCTTGCACAGGAACGTTAGCAAATCCCTTATAATGGATAGGACGTTACAACAAATCCTCGTCCTGATTATTATTTATTGTCGAAGCAACGAATTGAGAGCCAAAATAATGAGTTTACAAGAAATAAGATGATCGTAATTACAATAAGGAGATAGTCTGAGTTTAATTTAGATAAAATATAAAGTTAATATACAAATACAGTTTAAAAAGCCTTTATAATAAATTTATTGGTGTAAGTGATTCGTCTAGAGTTAGTGGTTTGACGAGTGTTCCTTTTCAAAAAAATAATTGAACTTAAGCGTATGATACTGTAATATAATTCCAATCTTCATCATTATAAAATCATTATAATCATTACCTCACTCTTTAGTAAAAAATCAATGCTGGAATTACAGGTTAAGCTTTTTCAAAAAGAAAATTTTTGTCTTAAAACTGATAGACAGACAGCGACATTTGAGTATATTAAGTGTTATATACTTGCGAATTTTTCGGTTATTACTCGTAGTTGTGACGCGACGATGGATTATTTGTCGTACATAAGGAATACATTACACGCTCATGCAGACGTCAATCAATTCCATCAATCATGATTGATAAAAAACGGATGGTGACTGATATGCATACACTACGCACTCATGCAGGCGTCAATCACTGCATTACATAGTAGGTTATTGTTCAATCACAACCGTGGTTGTTGTAAAACTGATAGCCTGCATGAGCGTGTAATGTACGCCTGATGTACGCCTGTAGGTTATAGATCACCTTAATCCTCATAGGTGATAACGCAGCTGTAGCTTTCTCTGCTTGAAGTTGACCACTGTTTTAGGCGTGCATTACACGCTCATGCAGGCGTCAATCACTGCGTTACACGGTAGGTTATTCGTCAATCACAACCGTGATTGTTGTAAAACTGATAGCAAAACCTACTGTGTATGTGACAAACTATGAAAATAAAAAATAAAATTTAAGGCCTAATGGCGTTTCTGTGGAGTGTTTTATTAGACAACAGTTTGGTTTAGCTTACTTGGCAAAAGACACTACGATATCAGCCTCATCGGAGTTGACCTCGGTGAAGGTAAGCCTCGAAGCCTGTTGCCATACGTCGAGCGCGCGCGCCAGCACGTTGCGTGTGCCATAAGGATCCAGCTGCGATGGCCGTCTCACTGATGACAGACTGGAAAAGAACTTAATGTTAAGTCGAATTCGTGTAAAAATTGCTCTAAGTTTTTGTTGATTTATTACTTGAAATTAGTCTAAGTTTTTATTGGTTGTTAGTGACAGATTTGGTATTTTTTTTACAAACTATAAACATAATTACAATCACACGGTGGTAAGTGATAATGTAGCTTTTGATTACTTAGCTTTGAAATGAAAGTGATTATTAGTACCAATTAGTAATAGCTACGTTGCTTATGATCTACTACTATTGATGTTCAGTAACTTCGTTGATTAAATGTTTTATTTACCTGAAGAGACATTATTCTTTTTAGATTATTTTATATACCTACACAGAAAGTATCTTTCGTATACAAATACACAATAAATTTACATATTATATTTTTGTATATGACCTTATATATAGTCACAGCCATGATAGCTCAGGGGCTTATGCCCGCAATAAATTTCAGAGTACGCGAGCAACCCGGGTTCGATCTCCGATGGCACCAATGAAATTGTTAATTGCAATTTTACGTGCTGATTTACCACGTGATCGGCGGTGAAGGAAAAATCGTAAGGAAATATGCATGTTCGGGAAAAAGAAAAAAAATTTAAAGACATGTGAAGTTCGCTAATACGCATTGGGGCAAAGCGCCGGACACTTTCTTGCTCTAAAACCTTCTCAGAAATAGAGAGGAGGCTTGTGCCCAGCAGTGGGACTTATATAGGCTGTAAAAGAAAAAACAGAACAGAACATAGTCACAGATACGAGTACATCTAAGCAACTAAGCATCTAAGCAACTAGAGGTCGGACATAGAAATAGAAATAATATATACATACGAGCCAAAAATATGACCTTGGTTTTGGGGCTTTGGTGCAATTTTGTAAGAACGGCAAGGGTTATCAGCATATTTTTCTTATCCCTACCCTAATTATTGTGTGTTAAAACAATCAATTCGTATATAAATATCTAATTTATTTTTAATATTTGGATTATGTGGCTTTAGCAACTTAAGTATTCAATTCAAAACTCTGCAGATCACAAGAAGAATTTATAGATATCATTTTTAGACAAACGCTTATAAATTTGTGTACATGTAATTTTATAAACCTTAATGTTTTAATTAAAAATAGGGACTAACAGTAGTCAAATTGTCAATTATGCCGTTGCTGCCGGAATTTAGTTGTAATTGATGGATATCGGCTTTTACCATTAACTAAGTTTTTTCCTGCTAAGCCACATTACGAGGTATGTTTTATAGATAAGTTTCACTCACTTCTTTTAATGGATTTTACAAAGGCGGTTATATTTATGGACAAAGTACAAAGTTACATTATTATAATCAGTGTCGAGTAAAGTGCTCCTCTTTTTGCAAGATTTGTTAGGTATTTATAAACTTAGGAAGTTCTCTTTGATAAGTATCCTTGTTAAGTGGATCTTTTACAATCAAACAGATTTCTTTTTACTTAAAGTTACCATAATACGAGAATTTAATTCTGTATCGTGGAAGCAGTTCACATACATAAATTATATAAAAACATACATTCAGCGGGATTTTACGACTCCGTGGCGCAGTAGCTTAGGAATGAGTGGCTGCGCTGGGGGTCGCGGGTTCGTATCCCGCACGGAACAAGTATTTGTATGGCCTACAAGTAATTGTTCCGGGTCTAGATGTTCGTCCTTGTGCAATTTATGTTACAAACATGCCAACTGCCCCCACAATACAAGAGAAAATCTTAGTGTAGGGGTAACGTTGTATAAAAAAAGAAAAGAAAGAAAAAAAGATTCGAACCCGCACCGCAACTCAATGCTAAATCATAGCATCATGGATCTGTTCCAATAGAGATTACATGATAAATAGAAAATAAATGTATAAGTATCTTATTCAGTTACATGATAAGTTCAAGATAAAATAATATGTCGATAGAATTGTTGTCATTCTATGTATTCAGGACAAAAATGTATTTGAAATAGCTGTCTATTTATAAGCTACAGGTTTAAAAATGGTTTTAGAGCGTAGTGGCCTAGGTGTTTGGATGTGGCGGGTATCGGGTTCGGTTTTTGCACGGAACAATAATTTATATAACTTGTTTACCCAGACAAATAACTGGATTGTTTTTGATGTTTTCATAGATTTATAAAAAGAAAAAATGGTTTAATTAATATTTTAACATAATAACGAAAATGGCAAAATGTGCTTTTAGTAGGTTGCATAATTAATAAGTGGTGTACTGCTTAGGTTGAGTGGGTAGAGGACAAGGCTCTATAAACAAATTGGATTGACATACGGAGCCCGGGCATTAGAAGTAGGAGTAAAATAAGCGGTATTATTACAAAACGTGATTTATTGATAGTCTTGGGTTTAAACTATGGTTTAAGAAGAGCCTTTCTCAAAAAAGAAATCCCTTAGCCGTTTAATTCAATTATTTTCACGAGACTTCTTTTTGAAACAGAGAGAAATAACTTTACAGTGCTTAAAGTCCAAGATCGAAATTAGAATGTCAAAAATGATCGTATTGTTATGGAAATCAAAACGTTGCTATAGAACTTTAGATTCAACGTATGAACGTATAAATGAAATAGAAAGAGTGCAGATGTAATTTTTGACCTGTTGATGTTTCTAACAAATGTAAACACTTTAAATGTTATTAGATATGACCACTATAAAGTGTCAGCAAACATACCCGCTTGCCAGTACTGCGGTCATCGCATGCATATCGGTGCAACACATTGTGTCGTATAAAATATCGCTTCCGCGGCTAATGAATACTAACCAACGCGAGCCCCAGTCGCCGCTGTAAATAATTATTTCAATAACATTATTGCGGCCACAGGGGAAATAAGAACAGATAATGTTGCCCGCGTTCACTTTGGAAGTTACAATTTTAATTTTGTAATTGCTCGCGCGTAATTTTACCGTCAACAATTATGCTACTCTGCGAAATGAGATGTGCGAAATATTTAATCGAGTCTTTTAATGGTTTGGCCCCGGGACGGAGCGGCGAACTGATGGAAACCGCTTCAAATTTATTATTGCCGTATTAACAGAGTTGGTCCGCGTACGCTACATCAGTCTACTAGTTAATTGCAAGCGATGGATGAAATTTGCAACCGCATTTCAAAGTTAACGTCGACTTGATATAATGAATGCGGTCGGACACATAACTTCCGTGTTAAAGTTATTTAATTGAGTGCTGCTTTTGTTACTTTAGTAAAATTGACCAGAAGCATCTTTAAATTTGTACGTTCATTATTTTTAATTCCATTCAAATGTAGCTTTCATTATGAAATACTGACACGGATAGTTAATACTCTAAGAAATAAAACGGCTTGACGTCCTTCTGTATAAAAAAATCTAATTTACCTAAAATGAAAAAAATACCAATGCAGTCATTTAAGTAAATAATATCTGGGGGCACGGCAGTGCCCCCGCCAAGTCGAGCAAAAAAGCGGCACGGCCGTACTATACTTTTCTCGAAGCAATTCAGGCCATTTTCGACCCTCTATAACTTCGTAGAGGATAAAACTAGAACCCTGAATATTCAGTTACCGAGTAGACATTGTATAACCATGATATATTTCAAATTTCATTCAATTTGAACCAGCAGTTTAAGAAGTATAACTAGTCAAAGTTTCTTAATTTTGTCACTCACTGACTGACCGATCATCAAAAGTCTAAGGCACTTCTAGCAGACATAGAAGCTTCAAATTCAGAACACAATTAGTGTTTAGTGTATAAATCAAGGAAAAACTAAAATACTTTTTAATTTCGTTCCAGTTTTCTAGATATACTAACTGCACAAATAACTTTGTAATCCTATATAAATATATAGAATTACAAAGTTACATTTGCAGTTAATGAATCAGTGTACTTGTATACGTATAATAGGTGTAGATAGGTACGTTGTTGGCATTCAGGAAGTAGAAGGTACTGGAAAGTAAAAAAGTAGACTATCTTATCTAAAAAAGAAATGAGATGCCATCAAAAACATAACTTGTAAAAAAACCAAGTCTCGCAACTCAGTTCAGTTCAGTTAAAAAGTAGTGAAATCCATGTAATACCAAGTCGGTTAATTTATTCAGTCCCTACTTAAGGGCCCTTCTGTTTTAAATTATTACGTAATTAGCTAACCTAACAACATTTTATAGTGACCATATCAATGTTAAAAATCTTTTATGTTTTGAATATAAAGATTGACTTTGCAATCGCAAGAAAACACAATGTATCTCACAAGTAGTAAATATTATATTAAATTAGATTGCTTAGTGCGAATGCCAAGTCAATCTTTATATTTAAAACATAAAAGATTTTTAACATTGATATGGTCACTATAAAATGTTGTTAGGTTAGCTAATTACGTAATAACTTAAAACAGAAGGTCGCTTAAGTAGGGACTGAATAAATTAACCGACTTGGTATTACATGGATTTCACTACTTTTTAAGGTAGAAGAACTGAGTTGCGAGACTTGGTTTTTTTACAAGTTATGTTTTTGAGGGCATTTTCATTTTTATTATACAGAGTTATTTTACAATAACCGGCTAAATTTGCAGAGAAGGTTCAGAATAAGTAATACTTATAGGCAATTGGTGAAGAAAAAAAATATTCAAACATTCTGTCCTTTTTATCTTTTTAATTCAAAATGCACGGTAATGCATTATATTAATTGATTTTACTGTGCACGCATACATTCGTAAGGGTCGATAGGTAGGCAAAAACATTGTTGTCCATAAATCGCATTCAATTTGGGATAATTTCAAATAAAAGTAGAAACCTTATTTACTTTGAACTTAAGCTTAAAATTTAGCTACTCTTTGAAAAATAACTCTGTATATTTCTTATTTTTCCGCACCTAAGCACTTCTATGATTATCATAAAAATATCAAAGATCGAAATGTAAGTAAATTTGCCCTTTCTCAATTTATAATGATTTATTGTAACATTTTGAAAGTAGTTTTTTTACGGATTTTATCGCGTTTAATTAACCTATATTCCTGACGTTTCGAATATTTTGCAGAACCCGTAGTCCATGATTATTGGTGGTATATGGTGCCGCAAAGTACTCGAAACGTCGGCAATATAAAACAGTTAAATTAATTAAACACGATAAAATCCACAAAAACCAAGTTTCTCAATTTGTGTTGAAACTTCCCGAGCAATTTCAACAGCAATATGTTTTTCAATAAATGAATTTTAACTCAACAACACAATCGAAGCTAGTTAAACGTTTAAAACAGAAAGTCAGTTAGTCGCATAAAGATTTCCGTTTAAGAAACACGTGGCAAGAAACAATTTTGTAGCGGCTCCTTGAAGGACTTCAGAGCACGTCACGTTGCGCTTTCGAGGACTTAAAGGAGTTATACACAGGTTAATAAAAGCCTTCGTGTGCGTTAGGGTCTCGCCACACTCATATTATTCACGCAATAAAATGTTTTACTAGGTAAAAATAACTATCGTATGCACATAAATAAGCCATTTATAAATTAATACTAAGGTTTAAATTTATTAAATCAATTAAGTAGTCACAGTCGAAAACTGGTTCAATAAATTAATTTACGTAACAGATATTTAAAAATACAATTATAAGATAAACATTCCATTTTATATCTATAAAGTTATTTTTATAGGATAAGGGTGACAAACGAGCACACAGTTCATCTGATGGTAACTGTTTGCTATGGCCCATAGACATCTACATCTGTCCTCAATTACGAATCAAAATGCAGATGCGTTATCACCAGTGAGGACTAAGATGGACTGCCTCGTTTCCTGTATAAAGGGTCTCCGATTCTCTACACTCATCATAAGAAACACAGCAACGTTCAGTTGCTATTTTACGCTGGTATTCTGTGAGAGCGTGGCCCTTACCCGGTCGAGCCGACCCATTCGTGCTACAACTATACTACTAATATAGCTGCAGCATAGCTCTACCACGTTTAATATTTCATTAAAGCCTTGACTGAAAAAAATAGGACTATGTGTGTACAGTGTAAGAACTTGCTACTTTTTATGTTTATACTATCTGGCTAGGCAGGCATTGTTCTGCCCTCTCCGACGACCCTTCGCCCTATGAAAATCTAAAGAAAAAAAATTAGTAATAAAAAATATTGTTGGTCATCGGGATAAAAACTAACCTATCTCTCAAGTTAGACAAAACTGTGTGCAAAACTTCATTGAAATAAATTAATAAATTTCATTGAAGTCAGTTAGGAGGGCACGTAATTTTTATATAAAGAATTTATATTTAGACTTCAGACTGAATGTATCGTGTGCAAGAGCCTTTACTACTTGACTTATATTGAAAATGTGGCTGCACGTGAGACGTGAGTACCTACTGACGAACGGTTCGCAACCACGTGTCCACGTGACCTTTCACAAAACTACAATGACCGTTATATGCGGGGTAAGCCTTTAGTGACATGGCTCTATCGAAGCCATGTCACGAGTACACCTGCTTCATACTGTTATCATAGCTGTTCTTTATTTAATGTGAAATAAGTTTTTGAATAACGCAAGATTTCGTTTTAGATTAAGTATGGCTGATTTGCGGCATATTTCATTTAGAAAATAAATGTCTTGTTAATGTCACTTAATCTAAAATCCCTTTTTATTTTTAATTTTTGCTGCACCGCCTTTTATAAGTCTCTCTCTGGTTAGGCTAATGATTGACTGTGACAGAATGCCCTATGGCATTAAGTCCGCCGAGTGTACTACTTGTGCATGGAAATATAAATAAATAAAATATTATTATCAGATAACTCACGAAAGAAGTAGATAAATTCCGGAACGAAAGCTAAGACATAAGTTGTGTAGCTTGTAAAAGTTGTGTAGTTATTATTACTCTAGAAGAAACGTTTCTGAGTGTTATAAATAGAGGAGTAGAGTTTAATATGTACTTATTGCTCATTTCGATTTTGGCGATAACTTTCGAGCAGCATTGGCATCAATAAAACGTATAATAGTGAGTGAATCTTATATCACATCTTTACTTAAATAAAGATGCAGGCTGCTTATTTTCTAGGTTAATATGGATTATAACTTAAATAATGTAATTCCGATGCTAACATCAAAATGTTTCTGTATAATTCGTGGAGACGGATGGGACCGCCGCGCGCCGTTTATAGCGCGAAATAATAAAACGTGGCGAAGTGACGACATGGCGACGTCTTCACGGCAGAAACGGACATAATCTCGTTACGATGTCATAACAAAGAGATTTGTAAGCATGAACTTTATGGTTTGTGTCCAACGAGCTAAAATTTAATTTTCTGAAATAATCTGTCAGCGAGTCATTAAAATTGTTCGCCCGTGAACCGCCTCCCTTCATAATACCCACTATTCACTAGATAAAATGGATTCAACAACAATTTTCAACGAAGTAACAAATTGTATAATATATGATACAGTACACGGGAACAAAGCATTTGATTTTGTAGTAGGTTGTGCACGTGGTGCATTCTGCTGATTTGATCAGGCTGTGGAGCCGACTGATGACCGAAAATTCATCCAAAAATGCTAACCCGTATTTCAAAGACTGGTGATGGTGTCAGTGAGTCGGCTCTGCACTATTCCGCTTGGCAAGCGTGATGAGAATGTTAAAATCTTACAAGTAATGCTTTTTTTATAGGATAGGGTGACAAACGAGCACACAGTCCACCTGATGGTAAGTGGTTGCAGTGGTGTGGCCCATAGACATCTACATCTATC